CTGACATTACAGGGCTGGTTTCTCGAAGCTGGCTGTTTTCTGCGAGGACCGAATGTGCGTAGGTATGCACATGCTTCTATAGAATAAGATATATATATATATATGTATGTATATATATATATATATGTATTACATATTAGATGGGCGCGGAAATCGTTGCTTAGGCTGCAAAGTTGGGGGCCGGGAGGTCTTGGGGTTTTGAAGATTCGTGGGGCAAACTGTTTAGGGCTTTGGGTTTAGGATTTGGAGTTTAACGTTTAGGACTTAGGGTTTAGGGTTTTGGGTTTGGGGTTTGGGGTTTGTGGTTTGGGGGTTTGTGTGTTTGGAGGCACGGCTGGAAGTTTAGCCTTTGACACTGGACCCATCCTTTGACTGGACCCAGCGACAAGCTAAACTCAAAAAACTCGGGTTTCCAACTACCAGCTTACAGCTATGGTCTATAGCGCATATTGGGGGTCCAACCCAGAAGATCTAGTAAAGCAGGAAGAAAAGAGCAGTTCCTACGCCGCAAGCCTAAACCCCCAGCCCTAGCAGCCTGAACTGCATCCCGGAGGCGCATCTTGATGTCAGCACGGAGTAGTGATGGATGACCAAGGGTAATCAAATTCAGCGAATGCTCATGGTGCCTTTCTCAGGTTACAGCTATTTCAGGGCAAGCTGCAACCTTGCAATCGGATACTGCTGATCCCCTATACTATTTCCTGAGATTGAGGATAGATACCGGAAGAAGATGTCCCAGTAGTTCGTAGGATCGCAGCCAGTTTTCTGGCAAACAAAATGCCACGATTGCTGAAGCTTGTCAATGGTGAAATCCATGGAACCTCAGGCTGGCGGCTGCGGTGATTATCCAAATCCTAGACTCACAGAACCCGCAAACTCGGCACCCTCGAAACTCAACCATCTCAACCCCCTTTCTGCCACGGAGCTGTTTGCACCGTGGGCATCCAGCACTTGATGGCTCGCGACAGTCGCTTCATGCATGGCCGCTGCCACCGCCAAGGTTGCAGCATGCTCGCTGGAAGTGGAGGCCGTCAGCTGCGTCAACGCTGTTGCAACTTGTACTGTGGCCGTGTCGTCATCGGGCGTGTGCACACTGTCGTCACAAGTGTAAGCCTCAGGAAACACGAGGTCATCGGCAAGCGTCTCTCCGCCTTTCTCATGTACAAGCCCGTCTCTCAGAAGGGGCCACAGGATCTGCTCAAACCTCGTCATCTGTTCGAGCATGCTTGCATAGATCTCCATGTCCACGATGTCGGGAACACCGGCCTGGATTACGCAAGAAGCGGCCTTGATGCACGGCATGATGTTGGGGATGAGCGCATGTGGGCAGGCGTCTGCAGCTGCTTTTCCCTCCTTATCCAGCGAAATGAAATCGTGGAGCACTGCGTAGAAGCCTGCGGTCTTGTCCGCCACAAACTCTTCATCCGATTGGAAGTTGCCGGGGTGATACTTGATCACGCTCCTGTGAGGGGCTTCTTTGTGCCAAGGCTCATGGCCTGGGGTATTGTCATTATCATGATTCTCATTTTCACTGCTATTGTCTTTTTTGGTACCATTATTATCATCAGCATGAAGATCATTAACTACATATCTTCATTGTTACTTACTATACATTCTTATCATGGTAGCTCAGACGGGATTTGTAGACAAATACCCTCCCCCAAACCAACATGAACCTGAAATAGGCCCCTTTTAACAGGATAGTAGTCTATATAAGGCCCCTTTTCAGCTTCCATGTTTGTTTGGGGGAGGGTAAATGCTTCGAGAGATGAAGAGTCCAAGTCTCTGGTCGTCACTGGGGCCTTCGAGTTTTTTTGGGGGGCGCAACAGGAATATGAGATGCCCTAGTGCCGACAATATATACAGGGTTTAAGGTTTAGGGTTTAGGATTTAGGGTAATAATAAAAATGATGATACTAATAGTAATAACAATCATAATCATAATAATGATAATAATAATAATGATAATAATAATAATGATAGTAATGATAATAATAATAATAATATTCATAATAATGATGAACATAATAATAATAGTAATAATAACAATAATAACAATAACAATAACAATAACAATAACAATAACAATAACAATAACAATAACAATAACAATAACAATAACAATAACCATAACCATAACAATAACAATAACAATAATAATAATAATCATAACAATAATAATGAAGATAATAATAATAACAATAGCAATAATGATAATAATAATAGCAATAATGATAATAATAAGAATAATAAGAATAAGAATAAGAATAATACTAATACTAATAATAATAATTAATTCAAATAGTAATAGTAATAATAATAATGATAATAATAATGATAATCATAATGATAATAATGAATGAATCAATAACTATAGGGCTTAGGAGCAGTAGTTCCAAAGACACATGCCCCGAGGAAGGCCTGAGCATTTCTAGAATTTGCCGCTCTTTGGGGCTCCTGTTGTAGTGCGCACTGGTTTTTTAGGGCAGCCCTAAAATCATGGGATCCTATACTACACCCCCCCACCCCCAAATAAGGCTCAAATAACCCTTAATTAAGCCTCATTTTGGACCACTGCCTTCCTAGGGCAGCCCAAAAACGAGCAGAATCTTGCTTGGATGCTCGGGAGACTTAGTTTAAGTAGGCTTATTAAGTAAGGTTCTTGGTTCCCCATATAGAGTAGGTCTATATAGTATCCTACTCAAGAAGTTTCCCGAGCATCCAAGTGAAAGGTACCTCTAGCAGGCTTGTTCGCAAGTTTGCAGTGAAGGAGCCTCAAAGCGTGAATCCAAGACCTGTGTACTTTGGGTTGGCGGCGCGCAAACCCAAACCTGTCAAACTAGCAATCCCCTTGCGTCCGGACATGCTCGACTCTGACCACATGGAAATTTTCAAGCAAGGCCGTCAGAAATTGAGACCCGTGGCCGTGGCTCCTAGATGCATGAAGTTGGGCTTACCTCGCTTCTGGGCCGCGCCTGTCCAGCATCTTGTCCCCACTGCGAATGACGCCGGAGGCAAAGGTTAAGTTCTGGAGCACTAGCGGAAACGCCAGTGTCAGCTCCTGGAAGCGGGTTTTGGAAGCGGCGTAGCCACGTGGCATCCCATTCTACGCTGCGCGAAGGATTAAAACCAGTGATTAAAGCACTCAACCCCCGGACCGCGCCTGCACAGCGTCGTGAAAGTGCTGTGGCAAAGGGTTCGCGTGATGCTTGAACCCCCAAACATGGGAGTTCACGAAGAAGATATGAAACCATAGCATCATCGCTGGAAATGCTATGGGGAACGGGGTGATAACTATGAGCTGCTGAAAGCTGCTGCGGCTTGTGTGCATCCAAGACATGGCGAATTCTTGCTTCTGAGTTTGCAGCCTGCATGTAACGCAAATTGAGTACCTGACATGAAGACTTTGCGCCCGTGGCTTTTCCAAGACCAGCGAACGCTCTGCTTCCTGGCTCTCGCGAGTTCTCTAGACAGTTCATGTACTCTAGTCAACTGCAGTCCTAGGCATGCAACAGAGGAGCGCTCTTGTTCTTTTCCACGGGTGCTGCTCAACGGGCGGGTGGGAGCGGTGTGTGAAAAAGCTGCGCATGC